AAGATGGATTACCTTTGCGACTTTCAACTTATTCATAAGATTGTACTTAAGCTGCTATAGACAAATATATCACGCGCGCAAGTCACTGCCAACTGGCAATAAAATAAACTAATTGTTGGTTTTATTGATGGGTATAAGATATGTTCTCTGTGGAAGAACTTGTATAAGATTAGTATGAAGACAGCTATCCGATAAATTTGACAACAGCTTGGGCAGCATTGCAAGCTGCTAAGGGTCCACATGTCTGGATTGCTTGATTTTCAGGTTTCTAAAGAAAAATTTATAGAAGAGTTTTGCAGAGAGGATGAGAAAAATTTCTTGTATTTGTTTTTTATTGCAGTATTAGTGCAGAAAACTTTGCTTTTATATACATGTAATAAATAACAGAATTCTAGATTTTAGGAATTAATTCATCTCAACCATTCATCGGCTACGATTCTTACATATATAAGAAACAGTTCTAACAGAATTTAACAAAAAAAAACTAATTATAACTGTTATAACTGTTTTAACTGCTTCTTTACCTGTTTTAATAGAATTTCTTCCATTTCTTCATTCTTCTTGCAGGGTTTTTTTTCTAATACTTCAAAAATAAGTAACAGCTTAGCTTTCAACCGCCTCTCCTAAGTTGTTTACTGATTTAACTCTAAATTTCAGCCTTAGTTGCTTGAATCTATCTTTAGACAATACTTTTGTAAAGATGTCTGCAAGTTGTGCTTCACTTCAACAGAATTGCATATTTATCACTTCCTCTTGTAGAGCCTCTCTTATAAAATGATACTTTCTATTTATATGTCTTGTTCTTTGATGAAAAATAGAATTTTTGGCCATTAAAATTGATGACATGTTATTACAGAACAAAGGTGTTGCTTCAGCTTGCGTTTCACCAAAATCATCAAGAAAAATCTTAATCAAATAGCTTAAGCTGTTGCTTCAAATGCTGAAACATACTCAGCTTTCGTAGTTGATAATGTCACCGTGTTCTATTTCATAGAGACCCAAAAGAATGCTCCACTCCCAAAAACTGAATGCATAGCCAGAGATGCTCCTGATATCATTTTCACTTTTTGCCCAATCTATATCACAAAATTCAATAAGAGTTGTTGACTGAACTTTAACGTATTCAATTATGTTGCACATATCTTAGAATTCTTTTTGTAGCTCTCATGTAAATTTTAGTAAGTCCATTCATGAACCGTGACAGAAATTGACAACATATATCAGATCAGGTCTAGCCCCTGCTGTCCATTTCAGGCCTTGATAAGATAGGGAAAAAAAAAAACACGAACTGTTTATCTCAAGAATGCTGTAATTATTTGAACATGATATTTTAGAGTTCTTACAGCTTTGCATCACTGATTGACATCAAAATCTTTCCTTTTCAGATATGTTTCCAAGGAAGTTTCCTCTGCTGCACTAAATCAGCTAGGATGTGCTGGAGAACTTCTTAGAAAGACAGTTATTTAACTTGTCACTCATATTTCATATTATTGCAACTGATCAATGCGAAACAATGCTTTAAAGCATAACTCTATTGAGAATTATATCCCGGTAGCTTGCTGACAAATTTAAGAACAGCCTTGTCAGTATTCAGAGCTGCAAACGAACCATATGTGTCCATTCCATTCTCTCCTGATTATCCTCCAGCTAAATCTGACATCCCTCTGACAAGCAAGTCTGGAATAGCAATAGTATTAGTTTCTTCAGTTGATAATGAAACAACCTGTTGGATCTTGTAATTTCAGAATAGATAGCCAGGATTTGAACAAGGTTCAAATTCAATCCAATGAATATGTTTATGCTGATGCTTATCAACCTAATCAAAACTTGATACATTCAACACCGAAAGGAAAAATAAAGAACATATTAAGTAATTAAGATCAAAGGGAAGAAAAACTTGCTATCAGTACAGAAGAGCTCTCCATATCAGCTGATGAAACCCCAAAAGCCTTACAAAGGAAATCCCTGTAAGGTGCGTTGTCCACGAAAATGTCTGCGGTTGAGCCCTTGAACCCAACAACTAGCTTGGGCTTTTGTCGAAGGTAGAAGCTTGAATCAACACGCTTCTCCAGTTCCATCCCCTGAAAAAGATTGAACGATACATTGAAACTAATCTGCAAGAGAGGCTTTTGTAGGAAATTGTGTATCAAACAGCAAAGAGTAGCCTGCATTTTATCCTAGCTTTAACTTTGAGGAAAGAAATATTAGCAAATTGGAAAAATCTGAGAGACGGGACATGTATGTCTAACCTCCAAACTAGAAGCGAGCTTAAGCCAATGCGGACTCACTTCTGCCCAAAACAGGGTCGTAGCATCATTAGGCTACCTTGACACTGAAAATAACTGCTCGGTACTGCAACTGAGTTTTCCTAACAGATTCACACCATCTCCTTTAGGCACATTATATTTTCCAACCTCTAATTGAGCGACATTATCAGGGTCCACAGTCCCTTTTGGGTTCTACAAGTCACAAAATTCTGTATACGTGAAGTTGAAAATATGATTGAAAGAGGTAAAAACTACAGCGTAAGAATATTTATGAATTCACACAAGCCAATTCCAAAGGCCAGTATTAGCAAACTGTTTGGGGATGCTAACATCTCCAATGGCCATAGAATTGTTGATATTGCCAGAAATCCCAAAATGGACAATCCCGGCTACATCAAACAGATCCAGCATTTTTTGTGTCACCGCAGCAGCATTGACCTGATTGAACCAACAGCACATTTAAATCAGCTCGAGGATGGCAACGTGTTCAGCAAACATTGCCATGTTTCTTCTGCAGCTATGAATTTTCTAGTCTAACAAGCTCTCCTGTACTTTACTGATTTTTTCCTTTTTTTCTTTTGGAGACGTGCCATATAACTTCAAACTTGATGCATCAGTTGGAGTGAATAAAAGAAAATGATTCACCATTCCAATCCCACATCTCACATAGATGACTTTCTTCCCGTAGATTATTCCGACTCGGTATGTTCGCCCTTCAGTACCACATTATCATTCTAACTTGCAGAACAAATGCAATCCATCAACAATGCAGTTATATAAGAAAAGAACCCACATACCTGACAGGTCCACGAAAGGGTGCTCAGGACTAGGCTTGAAATCCCCAGTCCCTAAAATGGCATTCTCCTCTGGTGGAAACACAGTGAGGAGACCAATCAATACAAGGCCCTTTACTGTTAACTTGCTTTATTAGTTTCAAAGAATTTATCTTCTTTGATGGTATAGCAGACACAGATACAACCAACAAACAAGTCAAGACTAGCGATGCAAAATATGGTATCGTTACAAGTTTTGCTGCCATGGTTGAGTTTAGCTTTTATGTGAATTGCCTATGTATAGGCTGCTTAATTAAGTTGTTAAGCAATGAGATGCGTGCTAGTTCATTGCAGGTGTTTCACATGAATTTATTTATAAGAATAGGTGTTTTCACTAAAACCCTATAGTTGATTTTTATTTTATTTTTACATTGTAGTAGCTTTTAAATTGTGGTTTGAAATAAAAAAAAATATAAATTATAATATTTTGTTTATTCAAGATTATCAATGAGATTCCTGTAAAATTATAATATATGTTAATTAACTAAATAGATTGAGATAAAATATATGGCATCACACCAAATTGATCAGCACAGGAAAGCAGGACTATCTATGAATGAGGCGACCTTATATTCACTCGTGAATACCATAGAAAAAATTTCGGTTGATGGCATGGGAAACCTCAAGTCGTAGGAATTGGTCGAGTCACATGACAACCCTCACACTTTCAACTCTTTTTTTATTTTTATTAAAATGAATATTTAAACTAATTTGTATACTCAATTAGTCTCCTAAATTCTAAAATTAATAATAATATAAATCTTTAATAACTTTAAAAACAATCAAACTCATGATCCAAAAAAAACCCAATTAATGACCACTTTCAATTTTTATGGTCATGCGTGGTACCTCTGTCCAACATATGTTCACTAGATGTCTGCCATCTGTATACATCCAAGAGGATGAAGGGACCACAACTGTTAGATAAAGAAATGGTGCTCAATTACATGAAGTGAAAGGACTCAGAGAACGTTGATCACCACACAAAATATATATATATATATATATATATATATATATATATATAGTTGTTTTTTATAGTATATTTTATTTTAAAATATATTAAAATATTTTTTATTTTTTAAAATTTATTTTTAATATTAACACATCAAAACTATCTAAAAACACTAAAAAAATATTAATTTAAAATAAAAATATAGATATAATTTTGAAAAGTATTTCTAAAATATAAGAACAATATTGTAAATAAAGATAGTATTTAAATCATATTATTATTATTTTTTTAGAAAAAGAGAGGTTCACAACTTCATATAAAGCTGATAAAAAAAGTGAAAAAAAAAATGACAAGGCAAATTATAGTTATCAGACATGATTGGAATAAAATTTTGAATATGTAAATTACGATATAACAGGCTAATAATTGGTTTGCAGTTTAATCGCATTAATTAAGCTTTTTAGAAAGAAAAAAAATGATTCACACAGAGTTGACAGAAAAAAAAAAAAAAAAAGGATTCACACAGAGTTGACAAAAAAAAAAAAAAAAAACGAAGATATATTTACAAGGCAAATCATAGTTATCAACATGATCCAAATAAGATTTTGAATCTGTAAATTGCCGATATGATTAAGGCCAATCATTGGTCCGTATTTTAATTATAGTCTTGTGATATAAATTATGAGTTTGGCTATGTTATCATTGAAATATTTTAAAATATATATATATATGTTCTTGAATTTTATAAATTAATTTTTAAATAAATTAATTAGATCATATTACATGAATTTTTATATGATTTAATTTTTTTATTAGGAAAACATTAGCAATATTTGAATTTTTTTTACCTTCAAAAAATATTTAATTCAACTAGCAGCATTGCATAGGCCATCGATCTAATTATTTACCTGATATTTATTTTTGGTTTCATGAAAAATGTCCTGCTAGTGCATCAACTGTTAAATTTTCTTTCAATCAATTGTTGCAAGCAAATTACTTCTGACATTTTTGAATCAGTGATTGATATAAAAATCTGGGCTTGTAGAATGAGTCCCAGATGAAGTTTGTTCCTGCTGCTTCAAATCTGCTGAAGAACCCCTAAAGATGTCTCCTTTGTCTCCTAGTTGTTAAAACTCTAATTTCATGGTATGATGACACATTAATGAGAAACTACATGTAATGCAGCAATGGAGAGTTGTATCCTGGTAGCTTGTTGATTAATTCAAGAACAGCTTTAGCGGCATTGAGGGCTGCAAGTGAACCAAATGTGTGGATTGCATTGTCTCCTGATTCTGCTCCAGCTAAATCTGACAGCCCTCGGATGACAATCACAGGAAAGCCATTTGACAAGCATGTCTGAAAAAGCAAGTTCCGTCAGTATGATCTTTGTTGATCATGAAATTAATTGTTCGAATCTTAGCTACTTCAGAAGCTTTGGATCTTAATTGCAATGTGAAAAGAAATAAGAAAAGAAAAGGACTAGTCCATTTAACTGTGCTGGTTATCAGAAGGGGGATTCAGATAAGTTAACTTGCCATTACTACAGCAGAACTTTCCATGTCTGATGATGAAACCTCAAAAGTTTGAAAGAGGAAATCTCTGTAAGCTGCATTGTCCAAAAAGATGTTGGACGACGCGCCCTTGAGCCCAACAACTAGCTTAGGCTTCTCTTTAAGGCACAAGCTTGAATTAACACACTTCTCCAGTTCCATCCCCTGAGGATTTCATGTTAAAATATAAATTGCAAGTGTAATCTACTACAGAAGAGGCTTCTGTAGGAAATTGTGAAAGAAGCATCAAAGGGCAGCAAGCAAATTTCCTTAACTGTGACTTTCAAGAAAATAAAATTAGCAGATGGTGAAAACTGAGGGGCTGGTTTTGAATGTCTAACCTCAAGGCTCCTAGCAAGTTGAAGCCATTGCTGACTTACTTCCATCCACCACAATGAAACAGCAGTGTTAGGCTCCCTTGACACAGAGAAGAGCTGCTCAGTGCTGTATCCAATCTGCCCCAGCAGATTCACACCATCACCTTCGGGTACATTGTAGCTTCCAACCTCCAAGTAAGCCACATCGGCCGGGTCCATTGTTCCATTCGGGTTCTATCAATAGCAAAGGTCTGTGTGCGTAAGCTGCAATTGGATAGGGACAACGGAAATAACAACACATTAAAGATTGAAAGTTTTCAAAATTTGTGAACTTGTACCAGCCAGTTCCAAAGGCCAGTGTGAGCAAATTGTTTGGGAATGGTAACATCCCCAATCGACATAGAATCATTCACATTGCCAGAAATTCCAAAATGAACAATCCCAGTTACGTCAAATAGATCCAGCATTTGTTGTGTTACCGCAGCAGCGTTTGTCTGATCGAGTCAGAAGCAAACTTAAATCAGTTTGTGAAGGGAAATACAGCTATGAATCTTCAGTCTAAGAGTACACAAAAAACAGAACTCAATGCATCAAGTGGGGTGAAAAGATAATATTGGCTTACAATTCCAACCCCACATCTCACGAAAACGACTTTCTTCCCATTGATTTTTCCCACTCGATACCTTCGCCCTTCAACATCATAATTACTGTCATTTAACAGAACAAACTACAATCAACTGTAATCAAAGTATCTAGCAACCATTCCTGAGAAAGAATACCTGCCTGAAAGATCCACAAAAGGGTGTTTAGCATCTGGCTTAAACGCCCCAGTTCTGAAAAAAGCCTCTTCTTCTGGTGAATACACGGTTATGAGACCAATATAAGGCCCTTTGCGGTTGAGTTGTTTGATTGTGCTAAAAGAACCTCTCCTCCTCTTTGATGGTATGGCTGACACAGACATGACCAGAAAAGAAACAAAAACCAGCACTACAAAACACCGTGCAGCCATGGTTGAGTGAGTACAGAGTGAGTTCATTGCTATTTGCTTGAATGAAAAGACCTATATATATGCTCGGTCAACGCTCATCGATCTGGTAGATATATTTTTTTTTATTTCTTGCCTCATGATTCATTTTCTGGTGTTCCATATTGATTGATTTATTTATTTATTTATTTATTTATTTAGAAAAGCAAGAAATGTAAATTCACATGAAGTTGACAGCCCAAGTGGAAGCTTTTAAAAATAGACAAGATTAGGGTCCTATCTCTTGACAGGACCAGAGAGGCAGGGAAGACAATAATTAGCATAATATCCTATTATTAAATGTTTTAGAGCTTAAATTCACATGAAGTTGACAGCCCAAGTGGGAGCGTTTAAAAATAGACAAGAGCAGGGTCCTATCTCTTGACAGGACCAGGCAGAGAAGACAAGGATTAGCATAATATCCTATAATAAAATGTTTTTGAGCTTAAATTCTCATCTTCATGTATGGTTCTGCATGCCATCTTCTTGTTGTTGCTATATTTTATCTGCAAAAAATGTTAATTAATGTAAAACAACGAAAATAATCTGACTTCTTGTTTCACCTGAGAGTAAATCGGAGTCTACAAGTGATTTCGAGCTGCCGACGATGCTTATCTGGCAGTTACTTAATCATAAACAGAACAAGACAAGGCTTATGCTCTTTAAAAGCTATGTTCTGTAAATTTCTTGCTGCAATGCATCTGCACTAAACTAATTACCGGCAATGTAATAATCACTGTTATTAAATCCAGTCCCACCATGTACCTAAACTATTGACTGCACGTGTTAATTCTTAATTCATAAACTGGTCACTCTACCAACAGCCTTGGCCTCTGTAGTGTAGAGTGACCTGTTCTGTTCATCATCTAGGTACCATTTGACATACCTTGACCTTCTTTCAAATATAGAGCGAATAATTATTTAATCCGTGTGTTTTAACAAAATAATTAATTAATTCTAGTTATTTGAAAAATATAACATTGCATCCTTGTACTTGTATTTTTATTTTCGATCAAATACATTAATAATGTTTTATTTCCTATAATAATGTTTTATTTGCTCAAATTACATTAATTTCAAGTATTTTTAGATTTTAAAAAAAAAAAAAATTGGACGTGCTTCCATGACTCTATCAGCACAGAGCAGGATCTATGCAACAGTAACAGAAAATAAGCGGGATAAATCTTCACCTGTAAATATTTCATTCAAGGAAATAACTTTTCATTAATGGCTTGGAACTTTAAATGTAGTAAATAAGTAGTGAACCCTAGCCCTCCTCTACAAACCCAGCAATCAAGACTTGCGTTGTACACGACTTTCATTAAAAGCATAACATACAGAAAGGCCCCGTTGCAAAGTCAGTTTGGAGCGGGAGGGAAAGTGAGCTTGATGGGGCAGCTTTGCACCTTGAAGAAGCCAAACTTGCAACAAAATAAATAATTGTTGGGGTTGTCGACTGTTTCAGGAATCCCCAAGTTCCTCTATGTATCAAATGCATCAAAGAATGTTCGGCACGTCCATAAACAGATTTTCACTGGTTTTGAAGACTCTCAATGGCCTTTTTCCACTGCCACGCTCTCTGCTTAACATCTTCAAATGACCTTACCTTCTTCGGCTGAAAGAGCACATGATTAAATCAGGAAAATGAAGGGAAAATGCAGAGGGTGAGGGATGGAGAGAGTGAAGAGATATAAACTGGAGAAGAATCCTCTATAGCTGGAATTTTTAATAAGAAGAAAATCAAAGTGTAATGAAGAGGATCATAGGGCTATATAGCATAGTGCAGCGTAAGTCTTTGAACTCCTACTATCAAATTATTTATGCATTTTCTACAATTCACGAGTCCAAGGTTCAATGAGGTGTCCCACAAGATTGGAAACGACACTAGTTTAGAATGAAAAAGCCTCCAATGATTTCATCAGTTAGATGATTGGCAAAAGAGGCATACCGTACAGATCTTAAAATGTGAAGGACTTGTAACTTGGACACTCAGGTCATCGGTATTGTCAGACCAAATTATATTTCCCTTCACCATTAACTTTGAAGGGTCCACGTAGATCAACTTTGGCCTGTTGGTCAGGATAAGCTGCACCTTCTTGCTCGTCAGTTTCTGTAATTTCTTCACCATCGAGATCATTACAACAGATTCCCCTGGATCCAAAAACTGTTGCCTGGTAACATGGATATCCTACATGTTAGACATACTTCCAAATAGTCTGGAAACAAAGGAGAGGAAAAAGACAAGCCAACACTTAAATTTCTCCATTAAAATAACTTCATAGTGGCATTCTTTTGAAGCTTTGAGAAGAATGAGGGAAAACAACCACCACATGCCATCCTAATAATGCCGACTAAAGACCTTCTCCAGCCCTGGGACTATTCGTTTAGATTGCTTCCAAGAAGCAAGCTGCGCCAGCTTTTTAGTAATGTTAAATGGTCAACTTCCTTGAGGTAAAACTGGAAAAATGTGCTCAACTTTTATGTAAACCATTACAGTCAATACAAAAAAAAAAAATTCAATTGAATCCAGTATCTCAAGGCATGTCCTCAGTGAGTTCAAAAGATGGTCAATCTTCCTCAAACAATTCCAAGCACAAACTTGGAGGTTACATAATCTAAGCAGCTGAGTAGGTGCACAAGACAAGGAATGCAAGGAACTTAAATTAAACAGTAATTCTAACTGATTGGATAGCGGTCAACCAGAACCATATCCTCTTCACATTCTTCAACTCCCAATACCCATGTGAGGCAACAGCAAGAATCTCAAAAAATATATTGCAACAGGTTTACACCGAGAAATTTTGCAAAGCAGAGAATCAGACTTATTGAGAGAAGCAGAAAAGGGACATATATAAAGGCAGATAATGTGCATAAAGCAAAAGGTGTTAAGCCAATACCATTTAGAATCAAAGGAGTCAATTGAAGCAAGTCTAGTTATGTGTGAAGTTGATTCAGCAGATGATGAGACTCCAACATTCCCATCATTTTGTGTCATCGAACTGTCACCAATGTGTGTAGGGTTAAATGGAGACCCAGGGTCATGGTCATGGTCATTGTCACTGGATTGTGCCTGGTACATGAATAACAAAAGAGATAAAAAAAATCCAAATATTATTAGCATGAAGACAAAAAGACAAAGGAAATTTGAAATCCTTCAGCACATAATATTTTAAAGCAGTGTTGTCGTACCATTGGCTCCAAAACAAGTTTTGGAGGGGTTTCTCCTCTTAAATTCTTCCAGTCAACTCCCTCAAAGAATGGATGATTCTTGAGCACAGCATAACCACCGCGTCCAGCACCTGGTCTTCTGCTGGGATCTATATCCTACATGGTTGTAACATTGAAGATCAAAGACCTGAATCACAAACTTCATAAGAGAATATCTGTATCACTTGTAATATTTGGGGCAAAGGGAAAAAGTTAGCTTGACAATAATATCCAAATTCAGAGATTATGTTCATAATGTTCCCGGCCCAAATCTTAAGGATGGTAGAATAGACAACCAAAGGAAAGCACGTGTGCTTTTCCTATCAAGCAAGGTTAAGGTTCTATAAATTTCACTTTCATTCCAAGGGAGATCAGCCAACGTGAATCACCATAAAATGACCTGTCCTTTGTCACTAGTCATGTGCCTCAAAACTGGAAAGCGGAAGTATAGCAAGGTTAACATCCAGGCACTCAGTGTTAACCCATACAAATAGATATTGTAGATGGTAACAACTAAAAGCTTTTTCACTTTGAGGAGCCAAGGTAAAATCTTCTTGAAAGCAAAAGGCCAAATTACAATCTTTTAAGGGGGAAGGAAGGTAACTTTGCCCCAGGCCCCCTTGGATCCCTGCATGCACTCAACAAAGATTGTGCATCACTACATCTTTAAGCTTGTTCCCAGTCATCTAGATCATCCTGAAACCAACCATATAAGATATAGCTGGTTGTACTAAATGGGTTTCCTTGTCATTGTTACTGTGTGATTTTAAAGATTTTAAGGCCACACTTAATTACAGTCGTGGTATGAACTGAAAACTTGAATCTGCACATTTTTGTAGGGCAAGTGTAAACTCTTACCATTGACCAAGTAGCGATATTTTTATATGTACATATAGAAGAATAGAACAAAAAAGACAAAGGAGAACACAGGAACATTCAAAAACAGCAAACTAGTACAGAAATAAAAGTTCAACATATGAAAGCTTTGTAGCTTACTAATAAGTGATCAATGAGATCTCTCGCTTCTTCTGAAAAATAATCTGGAAATCTTAAATCCCGAGCAATAATTCTTTGAAATATAAGCCATTCACTTGCATCTTTGAAAGGAGAAGTCCCTGAAAGCATCTGGTACAAAGTGCAGCCAAGTGCCCACAGGTCATTTCTGTTTGAATGTGGTCAAATGAGTAAAAAGGTTATCCCCGATGCACAAGAAATTACATATAAAAAAAAAGACCTGGAAATAAGCTCAAACATGAAAAAACACTGTCAAAAACCTATTCCAATTATAAAATTAATATGAATTGATTTATACGAGTCACTTACCCGAAAGTTGCAGGAGAAGAGTTAAGGACTTCTGGAGGGACATATGCAGCTGTTCCCACAAATGTGCAAGCTTTATCGTCTGAGCAGAGGATCGAAAGAAAAAAAATTAACCTGCAGCTTCAAAAAACACAATCAACAGTTGTATATGATAAGTTCTAGCATTACCTGAAGCTGCATTCGGAAGGACAGTGATGCAACTATCCTGCATGGGCTTTACACTTCCAAAATCAGCAATTTTAATGTGTCCATCTGCAGTAAATAACAAGTTCTCTGGCTGCCATTTAGAAGAGCTTTAGCTTTTCTTGATTTCCAAGTAAAAAGAAGAGCAATGAATTAAAAAATTACCTTTATATCCCGATGAATTAACCCCATACTATGTATGTATTCAAGAGCATCCACAACTTCTGCAGCATAAAAGCGAGCTTCATCCTCTGATAGACGGCCTTTCTGCACATACAATTAAATGGCATAGTATACAATGACAGAGTAGCTAACATGATAAAATACTTACAGGGTAAAAAGTTTGAAGTCCAGAAGATTCTGCTGAGTATTATGTGAATCCAGAAATGCGCAGGGCATTATGCAAT